ATACTAATACTAATAATAATAATAATAATAATAATAATAATAATAATAATAATAATAATAATAATAATAATGAGGAGGAAATGGAAGAAATCTGGAATCTGTCTTAATCCACAGTAACACAGTGAGTGGAAATGCGATAATAATATAACTGCTGTAATAATTTCACGGCTATGAATCATTAGAAAGTGACTGCAGATCACCTGAGCTGGCAGACTGGCTGGTGTCCAGCGGGCCCACGGACCTGCTGTGGGGCTGCAGGTGAACATCTTGCCCGTCAGACAGCACAGTCTCCAAAAACGCTGGCTGGCTGTAAAACGATGGAATCCCACCAGGGCCGATTAATCCCATCCCGACACCCACGCCGGCGGGGCCCAGCATGGACCTGGCGGCGATAAGGTGCGCCCCGGCGGGCAGCGAGGCCAGTGGGCTCCTCGGGGCTGCGGATGGCTCCTTATTCAGACCCAGTATCTCTTGGATGCCGAAGCCGGTGCACCTGGGCGGTGGATTGGTCGCGCCGCTCTTCGGCTGGTGGCTGTTACTCCCTCCATTAACACCCAGAGAGGTTTTCTCCGATAGATTTAAACTTTCCGACAACACGGAGCCCTGTTTCCCCGTCATAGTGTCTCCGATGTTCCTTGAAAGGCCTGTTTCTTATCACGGCGTCTAACAGGACGGTCCCCAGTGCATGATCCTCTGCGTAACACACAAGAGCCCTTTAGAAAATGGTCCTTTTATCCAACAGGTCCATCCCAACAAGAGGCAGAACCAGCAGCCAATCAGCTGCAAGGATTCGGGATTCCTGTGGATCATGGATGCATTATACGCCCTCCCGAATGGATATCTGTGTTTTCCTGAGGACTGCGTGGATAAATGAAGACGAGATCCGTGGTAAAGAGGAACAAGCGATCTTTACGTTTGCAATCTGTTGGAAGAAATACGAACAATGAGCGATGGAACAGATAAAGAACATCAAAACTGCAGCACTAGAACCGGACTTACTGAGAACAACGAAACAAAAACAAAACATAAAATAGTTGCAGTCTGCCGTCCCTTACAAGTCCAAATATATCAAACAGTCTATTTCACAGCTTTGAAATTCTGCATGTTTGGCAATCTGATGGAATAAGTCTGTGATGTCTTTCCT